CACAGGTAGTTGCTGAGAATCCACAGGTAGTTGCTGAGAATCAGACAGAGTCTGAAGTACCTCCTCCACAAAAGAGAAGAAAGACATTTCCATTTGCAAGGCTCTTGACCAGTGAGGAAAGTTGGCAGCAACTGCAAGAGTCAACCAGAGAAGCAGAACGAAAAGCCGAAGAAAAACGTCAAAAAAAAGAAATAGCAGCCCAGAAGAAAGCTGAACGGGAACTACTTTCGGCTCAAAAAAAGGAAAAGCGAGCCCAAAAAGTTCAGAAGAAATAAAAAGTGTTAGAAAATTAGAAAAAAATTAAAAAAAATTTTTTTCAAATAAAGTTTTGAGAATCCGCCAAATTACCCTTATCAATCAAATTTCCACTTTTTTTAATGCCGTATGCAAAGTGACGATTTTTATACTAATCCGATCTGTCATATGATTTTTTTTTTATTAGGCCTATTCTTGAATACGGTATCGTTTTGTAATCTAAATATTGGAAAATCTGCATGTGATAAAAAAAAGTTTACCCAATAGCAATGTTAACTTCGCCAGTCTATCTTATATTGCTAAGATAAATCACACTTTAGATACCTTCAAAAAAAAATATTATAGTTTATTTTTATATATATAATAATGTAATACTCAATGCTATAATATATATAAGTACTAAATATTATAGTCAATCACCAACGTAAAATATGAAAATTTACAAGTTTCATTATAGTGTCTCATAGATATACTACACTTAATAAGGTAGTTGCGCAATGCAGTTGTGCAAATAGGAACGGATTTCTAAAAGATTAATTATAACAATTTACTAGATGTTAGATGCGTCATTAAATGACAGGTAAGATTAAACCATTTTTTTAAAAAATTTTATAAAATCTATTATATTGATGGCGATTGTGAATTTCTTCAATATTCCACATGAAAGAGGTTAAAGTAGACCAGCAGTAGTGAATAAATATGGCAGTCATATGAGTTTTAATCAACTATCAAGCGTAACATGAAATTAAATAATCATTTTAATAGCTTCTTATAATTAATGCTAGAATGAGATGGCTATATTATAGAACCATTCTAACAGCTCCTTAGGGCTAGCATTTAATATATTACATATTAAAATTTTACGAGAGATTACTTGGCAATAAAATAGAATATGCACTGATGATTTTTTTTTATTTGATCAATTACCTTTTTTTTCTTTCTTATTTTATGCTAGACTTTCAGTGAGTAAATTAAACGAATCTCTACAATTATTTGGTTTAAATAATATATAATATTGTAAAATTCAAACACTATAGTGCTTCTCAAATATGAACCACGCCACAGACAGACGAAATTTTTAATATATAGACTATATGTTAGACCCGTCATTAAATAACGAGTTAGATTTAAACATCTTTATTACCATACCCTGTAGGTAGGGTTGTTGATGGAGTGCTCCAGACTATAATAAAACATATAACCCATTTCAGGAGTGCTCCGGAGTAGGTTATATGTTTTATTATAAACTGGAGTACTCCATTAACAACCCTACCTGCAGGATAAAGGTGAATAATCTACGTTACCCAAATTTTCTTGCATAATACACGTTAAAAAGAAGGCAGCAATCATGTAAGTTTTAGCCAAGCATTAGTGTAACATTGAATCAAATATTTAGGATGAAAATTTTCTTATTGTAAAATCATTCTAACAGCTCCTCATGATTAGTATTAGGGTGAGAAAGTTCGTATTATAAATCATTCTATTATTAGCGTTAGAGTGAGAAAGTTTGTATTATAAAATCATTCAAACAGCTCTTTATGGTTAATATTAGGATGAGAAAGTTTGTATTATAAAAAATCATTCAAACAGCTCTTTATGGTTAATATTAGGATGAGAAAGTTTGTATTATAAAATCATTCTAACAGTATTTTGATTAGGATATACTAAAATTTCATGAATAATTTTTTTTTTGCCAAGGATCTAAAAACTCCATCACCTAATCTATTGGTTTTTCTTTCAATACTATATCCAATTCGCATGGGCAATATAAATTATTCAATATGGCACTATTTGTATTAATCTTTAACTCAGCGATGAAAATAGAAATAAGTACTGATAATATTTATGAAATGAAAAAGATTTTGCCGTTTTATTTGATGCTGGACTTTCGGTGTGTGAACTAAACGAATTTCTATAATTATTTTAATTGAAATAATGTATGCTATTGTAAAGAATTCAAACACTATAATATTTTATTATTTTGTCTTCGTTACTATATTCATGATATGCATTTCAATATGATGCATAAGTTAGACTCCTCTCGAACATCAAATACACTTCGCTACAGACAAACACGTCGAAGATCAAAATTTTTAATATATAAATTATATATATTTATATATATGGGGCCCCCCCACAGCAAAAGAAGGGGATGGGCCAAAAAAATTCAATATCTTGAAGAATTAGATTGATTAGAATAAAATTATTATAAAATTAAAACACCT